TTAAATAACTCCCTTACTTTATACAGAACAGCAATAGATTTAGCCATCTTTGTTCTTAAATAATTTATGTGAGGTCTCCATGTCAACCCTTCATCTATCACTACAAAATGCTGGAGAAACAAAAAAATAAAAAAAATTAAAAAGGAAGGTATTTGCTCTTTCTTTCTTTGTAAATGTGGGATGTCCGCACGCAAAAAAATACCTCAAACAACAAAACACACAAAAAAAGAGAATTTATGAATAGGAAATAAAAATAGCATCACAATATCTTCATTTCATCCAAGAAACAGCCACTGTTTTATTCTTCTTACACAGCACGAATCAATAAACTCTAAAGATACAACACTCAATCATCCTGCTTCACTCAACGGCTGTTCAAACTTGCAGACTAAATGCCTGATGCATCACAGGAAGTAATGGAGACGGGAACTGTATCCTGTCATCTTTTTATTTTGCTGAGTTGCAAAGGTGAGAAATCACTGAAACCGGACGGTCAGCATAACAAAGGCGCTCCTGTCACACTAGCTTTGAAAGCTTTCTCAAACAGAATGACCTACACACCTCTATCATACAAAACCACACAGCGGCGCACACTCACACACACACTCATGCCCCAGAGGGAATTGAGTCCGAAAGAAAGGCTTTTCTGCTGAATGTTGCAAAGGCTGGGCTGCAGAGGTCAACAGGGACAGAGGGCTTGAATACAGATGGACTACAAGACATAAGAGGCTCTGATAAGGCACAGGAGAGGGCACGAGGGCCCAAAGTAAACGAGGAGAGGGCGCAGGACCAAAGCAGGGGAAGTCCTGGGCCACACACTGCACTTGGAGGCAAATAAAGCTGGCAATGCTCACTGTTCTGTTGAGTCTTAGTATACTGGGATAAAAAATATATACAGTACATAAGACAAGAGCTCAACAGAAAACTATTCCAATACAAATGACCTACATAAGTAAAAATAAATTCATGGCCTTGAAGGAATGTGTATCATATCCAGATGTGGGTAACTAGTTACATTTACTTTAGGAACTTTTTATGAAAACAAAAAGTACTTTTAGGTGTAGTTTTACTACACTACAGTATATGTCTTACTTTACTTGTGTAACATTCTTTGCCCTGCTCTAGTTTCATAAATTTCGTAATGAGAAAAAAAAGACTTGGAAACGTGTTTGTTCAGTTGGAATGTATCATGCTATATACACTATTTGCATTCATTTTCTTTATTTTAGTCTTTAGATTTTCACATAATTGTCAATTTTTGTCAGTTTGATGACTTCATGTTATGATCAAGCACTTTTCTTCACTCTTTCTTGAATAATTTCTTGGATGGCTAATTTTGGCTTTTACTTGAGTAAGAATAATGTTGCAATATTGCTACATTTACTTGAGTACAGCTTTTGGGTACTCTAACCACCTCTGTTCACGTCAGATATTTAACGTGTGAAAGGGCTACAATTGGGGTTAAAGATTTGTTTAAAAACATAAAAAGTATTTAAAAAGTGTTATTTTGTTTTCTGTCCTGATGAAGATGACAGGCAATGTCTGAAAGCTACAGATGGGGCTGATCTAATTTTAGTTATTTTCTTTTCCAATTATTTTTATGACTGCCATGAGGAAATTAGAATTGTGGCAGGGATGAAGACAGGTAATGATTGTCTCTCAATTTTAGTAATGTCATGCTGAGGGAAATTTGAGTATTTAATGTCCGAAACAAATGAAATTTTCACTTTCCAGCAAGGTGATGAGTTTTGGCACATTTTTTTTTTGTAGGAACACTGTTTGTGTTTTAAAACTTTTAATTCTTCTTCTTTTTGTTGTTATTTAGAAATTTATTTAGATTAAGCAGGGGAAACAGTAAGCAACACTATAATATGGTGTACAAAAATGAACAATAATGAAGATAACACTGAAGCTTTTTTTTTTGTTCAGCATGATTCTTTAGCAGAGACAGAGGGAAAGAAATCTATCGTTTTAGGACACCTGCTGTTTTCTGACATTTTAATTTACATTGTCAGACTTTTAATCTGACATGTGCCAGACTGTAATTTCACTGATTCCACGGGTTTTTCTTTAGGAGTTTTCATAGATTATAAGTGAAGAAACAAAGATTTTTTTTTGTCACATCGTAGGATCAAACCTGTTGATGTGTAGGACGCTGAAGATGTTTGGTGATTTTAACTTGTTTGAATTTAGTTTTCACAAACACAGTAAAACACAGATGTAAACAACAACAACAACACTGTCCTCTAATTGAATGCAATCATTGTCCCGTCCCTATTTCCTCCTCTGTCCCATTGAGACATGAAGTCACTGCCATGTTGGGGCTTTATGTACACCACAGGTGCCAGTGTGTGCATGTGTTTGCCTGTGAGGCAGCTGGAGCCACTGAGCATATTAACAACCTGTTTACTCAGCTGAGGCTCCGTTTCCCTTCTTCCTAGCATAAAAGTGGCGTGCACAGAAACCCACCGAGGGACTCAGGCGTGTAAAAGAGCCAGCAAAGACAAGTTGAAACATTTTGATGGTAAAGCGGCGCAGTCGTGTTAAGTCTATCTCATTCAATGGCTTATCATAATAATAAGGACGGCGTAACCTTTTGGAATAAAAGGCAAACAAAGACCACTCCCTGCTGCATAAACGACTGCTTGATCTTCTGTGGGCTTTTATTCCTTTTGGTGAAGACAGCTTCTGATGCAGCTGGGGATGTTTGAAGTGTGATGCCACAGTGGCTACATCATGATTTCTTCTTCTTCAGCACATTTGACCATTATCAAAATGTAAACAGTAGCTGTATGTAGAGATCCATAGTCAGACCCATGGAACTACATTTTGATCTTTAGGTGATACGGTGTTACGACGGAGTATTAGGGCCACACAACGAGATTATTATTATTATTATTATTATTATTATTACGAGATTAAAGTCATAATATTATGAGAATAAAGTCATAATATAATGAAAATAAAGTCATAATATTACAAGATTAAAGTCATAATTTTACGAGATTAAATTTGTAATATTACGTGAAAAAAAGTCACGACGTGTCTTTTTCCCGTTCCTCATTTCCTCCTTATTTTCCCTACACCTGCTGTGTGCAGCCATGTCTCTGTGTTTATAAAGTAGTCAATGATGACCCGGGTCACTGTTAGTGTAATAAGCTTTCATCCAAATTAGCTACGTGACTAAATCGTCAATACATCCATTAATTAAAATACGGCTTCAGTTTGTAGTCATTTGCACAATATCCAAGTCCTGCTACTGAAAATTTGATGCTAATGTGCTAAAAGATTAACTATTTATTTATAGCAATACTAAAGAACAACTTGACATGTTTTTTCATGTAAAGACAATATGACTTTAATCTCGCAATATTATGACTTTAATCTTGTAATATTATGACTTTAAACTCGTAATATTTCGACTTTAATCTTGTAATATTACAACTTTAATCTCATAATATTATGATTTTATTTTTTATCCGACTTTAATGTCGTAATATTATGACTTTATTCTCGTAATTTAAAAAATAAATAAATAAAAATCTCATCGTTTGGCCCTAATACTCCGTCGTACGATGTAAAGTTGGAGCATATAGCATAATATTTTTGGTGAAACAACAAAAGCATAAAAAAGAGAAAGTAATCAAAATTAAACATGTACGTGTCAGTTCTTGCTTTTGCTAGAATTAAATCTTCCAAAGGAACCATGTGCCTCACATTACAATTAGATGCAATATTTATGTTTTTAGAATTTTCTGCTGTATATTTTTTATATTTATCATACCAAAAAATGGCCAAACTTCAAAGAAATGTTACGGTTAGAGCAGACCCAGGCACATGACAGATATCCGACTGCATAATAAATCTGTTAATTAGTGTACAAAATGAACTCATTTCTACAGCCAACTCCCTATCAAAGACTTGAGTGAAATACTTTTATGTGTTTGCCTTGGCACAGGGCTCATATCCCACTGCCCAGTGAACCAAATCCTTATCAGACACAAACAAGCCGCCTACGCTCAGCTCTGCAGCTAGCCTTGGGAGATGTCAGGTCCACTGAGTGTATGTTTGTTGAGGTGATCCGAGCAGCATGTGACTGGCCTGCTGGCTGGAGACAGAATACTAGTCTCTTTGAAGTCCACTCCTGACGATGACACTGCTGTTGACCGTGAGTCAAGTTACTCACAGTGAAGTGATAGGTTGACGCACACAGGACCCAATGAGAGCACTATTGCAACAAGATCAGTGAGGACGTGATGCTTGGATGAAGAGTGAACATTTCTCTTTAAATTAGTTTTTTTCCCCACATTTGTTTCTGTTTTTGCTGAAGTGACTGAGTCCATGTGTGAGGACGCATCGACTGGGCTTAATGTCTATAGAAGATGCTGTAATTTTTCAGAGATGTGTACGGGGTATACCTCTGAACAGTTGCACATGTACAGTCAGAAAAAAAGTCAGCTGCTGTCTTCTGTCTCTTCACATCAAACATAATTCAGTCTCAGATTATGTCTGTTTAACTGTGAATACTTTTTTATTCTTTAATATTCGTTTTTCCCACCATTCCTACCATTTTGCTTCCCTGCACATCCACCTGTGACTCAAATTTATTTGCATGGATAAATATAAGTTCATATGTGGAATCTTTCAAATGAACTTTTTTATTATAATTTATTTTATTTTTTCCATGTAAACTATGTAGGTTGTGCACTGCTTACAAATATATGTAAAGTCCTTACAGCCTCCTTAGGTGAGAGCTAAAGGGGAAGATTATTAGTTTGAAATAGTAGCACAGCCTCTTCAACTTGAGTGCAGTCTGCCACATCCTTACTTAACACAAAGTCTGGCATGCACAAAGGAGCACTTTCTTCACTCACATTCAGCTCAAACCATGTCATTATCATCCTCTACGGGGCAAAATGAGTAAGTCTTAAAGAACTTTTCTTCTTAAAGAAGACATCTTTTTGGCAACTCTTTTAGAACATGCTTTTTAAAGTGCACACCTCCCACGAGGAACATCGATGTCATCCTTCCTCCAGCGCACATTGGGTTGGGGGTCTCCTTGCACCTGGCAACGAAACTCCACCATCTCTTCCTCCAGGACTACCTGGTTGATGGGTCTCCGGAGGAAGGTTGGTCGCTCTGTAGAACGGGAAGAAAAAAAAATTTAAACAACATTTCATGTGCCAGTTTTTACACACAATCTACAGATGTTACATTCTCTAATTACTTGTAAACACTTTAAGTGAACATATCATGCTTTTAAATCCTTTGTCACATTTAAATCATAAAAAATATATATAGTTGGAAAGTCCAAGTCCTTGTTTGACAATTCCGTTGTAAATAATTTAAAATAATAGTTCAGAAAAAATAACAAAAAAACTGAAAGGATTGAAAAATATGACCCAGAAAAAATATAAAGATATCTATACAGCACCAGAAGAAAAATCCTGCACTCCTAGAGACTCCCAAGTACACAACAAAATGTATTAAATGGCTAAAGATGTGAATTTAGCATATGTCCTCTTTAATTTAAATAATATTCGATTCATCCATAATCGGTTTAGTAATAGTACCAAAGAATAAACTGAGCCCATAGCTGTTGGTTAAATGACTGATTTAGATCTAACCTAACATATTTGTTAAATTTTATTCTCACACAGTACAACCACATGACAGCTTAATGGAAATTTCAAACATGAAAGGCATAATGAATCTTGGACTGCATGAAGCTCAGTGGGAAAAGTCTAAATAAAACCATAATTATTATGGCCTTTGGCCTAAAGTACTATACGTAAATGGACACTTACCTTCAACAGCCATAAGCAAGTAAAAACTTTAAATCAAGACAAGAAATATCACGTACCAAACACTGTTACTTGTGCTGTCTCGCTGTCCCGCTCTCCAACCATGTTGGTCCCCACACAAACGTACATGCCAGCATCACTCTTTCTTGTGTTGGAGATCATAAGCTTCCCTCCTCGAATCTAAGTAATAACAATAAAAAAATCCTAATGGGTAAATTTTATTTTCTATATATTTCACAACAAATTTTTATGCCCTTTTTTCATTGTTATCCATGGTTGAAATATTTTCTTTTAAAATAACATCAAGTGAGGTTGCACATGCTGCATTATTGCCCTTAACACATGTATCACTAATGATTAGAAAATAGACTATTCCAGCAGCAACTGCTTGTTGAAATCAGTTTACCATCAATGTTGATGATGCAGCTTTATTTAAACACCTTCAGCGATACTCACAGTAATCCTGTCATCCCTGTCGTCCTTATCGTTGATTCGCACTTTGTCCTTTTTCCAAAAGATGGTGGGCTCAGGATGACCTCTAGGAGGAACACATTCAAGAATCGCAGGTTCTCCAGCAGCTACCACCACATCAGTAGGGTTTTGTCTAAAGTCGTCTCGCAGCACTGTGGGGACAAAGAAGAAAATAATCAAGAGTGAGAAACACTAAAATTCAAGCAGCAGATCTGCACTTCAGTGCCAGTTAGTTAACATGTAAATACATTTTTAAAATATTTTGTTACATACTAATATAGTGTTTGGTGCAGTGTGAAGGTAGCAACAGCTATCCAAGCTATTTAAATGGATGGGACGTGCAGCTTCATCTGACTGGGCAAGCAAAATGAAAGCTAATTGGAGCTAATGGAGGTCCCTGTGGAAGCAGGAGAACAAACAGAAGCAGAATGCCCTGAAGCCTGGTGTCAGTCACTTGTGAAAGCTAACAGGGGTGCCACACTGCTTCACTTTGGTAGCACGCACACATACACACACACCCAAACATGTGCTAACACACAAAAAGCCAGTGGGTGGTCGGATGAACAACTGTGCCCTTGTATCTAATCACCCCCCAGGTAGGCCTTTCATTAGAGAGATAACCTCTCGCCCTGCATAGTGTTCGGAGAAACATACAACACCAGCTCATTATCAGACAAAGAAAGCTACTGTCATGGAGAACACGCCAAAGCGCAAACAAATGCTAATTTAAAAGGATGGGCAAGCATAAAGCCACAAAACTGTCAGGAAGAAATTTAATTTCTAAACAAGTTTAGAGCAGAATGCAACCTTTCGAATAAGAGAATACACAAAAAAGCACCTGCTGCTGCCAAAAAAGGGGGTTTGAAAAACTAAACTAGGACACATTTTGTTTTCTTTGTAATTAAAACAAATTTTAATCATCTGAGTAGCACTTCAGGAATTTCAGCATCGGTTGTTCTCTCCATCACTGTGGCAGAGACAGCTGTGATTCCTTTGATGGATGAATAAGAATCAGCTTGTTGGGGGCGGAATTTGAAGGTGCTTGAGAAGGGCTAAATTAAGGGCAGCACCACAGGTCCTCACGTAAATTCCATGTGGCACAGGAGACAGTAGCAAGGAGGGCCGGGATTATAAGAGAGGATAACTGGTCCCTGCGCTCCTGGCTTCTCTCATCTCTTCATTCACTTTAGCCTCTCTAAAGAAAGCCACACAGCCATTGTCTCCTTATTTATTTATTTAGACGAAGAGGAGGCAGAGTGGAGGAAGGGAGGAAGCTTTCAACCCAATTATCCTGGGGATGCACAGGGGCACAGAGTGGGACTTTTGTGTGACATGAATTCAAATGAAACCTTTACACGGGGGTAATGGAAGAGAATACAGAAGAGGTAGAGATAGAGATTTTCTCTCTCTTATGCAAGGCTGCCCTCTAATCTAAAGAGCTAAGGTAATTAGCCAGCTCCAGTGTGCCGGACCCCCTAGCCAGTCAAGGCGAAACCGTCACCACTGAGCTCGAGGTATTTGCATTACAAACAGATGTCCTGCCATTTAAAATCCCAGCCTGGTTTGGACCATACACAGCCTGTTGTTTGCAATATCGCGTTGGCTTTAATTGCACCTTTCCATTCATTGCTGATAGCACCCGTGGGATTTTTGTCAGAATCAATTTCCTTTGAATCAGAACGGTGACAAAAGCAACACACATTAGGTGCATCATAATGGTGCGTGTGCTGTTCTGTTTAATCTAATCTAATACAGCACGACATGTCACGGTAAATGCATCCTTACACTTCAATCGAAATAAACACATCAAAAAAAAACAAACAAACAAGCAAAACACGCAAATGAAAAAAAGTCATTCGCTCCGGCACATTCACACATGAACTTGTTGAGGACAGTTTAAACAGTTGTTTAGAATCACAACTATACAGAAAAGAGTCAACACTGCGGAGAGAATCGTGTCAAGACACAACCTGCCAGTTGCTTTTACAAGGTAAATGAGGGGCGGAGCCAATCCAAATACACACAATGTCCAAATGTAGAATTCTAACAAGTTCACAATCATCACAGTCATCCTCATCCCACAATAAACACAAAAAGTAATTCATCTTGCTTCACAACAACATCTGTAACCATGTCTTCATCCAATTTTAATGCAAAATTTTTAAATGACAAAAAAATGGGGGAAAAAAAAAAACAGAAAATGCGAATCAGACATGTTTCCATCAACTGGCTTGGAGCAAATCAACCAGGCTACGTAAAGTGTAATTACATAAGATTTTGACCTAACACATAGCTGAGGTAAACGGGAAGTAAAGTCGCAAACTTGCAGGGACTACTCATCTCTGGACAATGGAATGAAGTTACCAGGGACGTGTTGCTATGATCGGGAAAGTTGTAATTATTCTGTCATAGTCATGTAATGTCTGGAGACATAGAAAAAGAAATGCAATTCTCTTCATGTTACAGGAATTTCCAGGAAGACACTGAAATTGGGAGGAGGGTCCAGCTGCAGCTGCTACAATTATTAGAAAAGCTGATCAAGGTAAACGTTCTCTCTACATTAGAACTTCTTCGGCAAATGTGTTTCCATCTCCCCTTTTGTGCATTAACTCCTTTTCAGAAAAAAATTCAAAACCCACCACAAGCAAGGGTGAAAACATTTTTGCGAAATTGAGGAAGTTTTTGCGAGTTTTGCCGTTTCCATTCAGCTTTTCTAATATGGCACTTCAAAATGCTCATTAAAAAAACACTGATGGAAGCGCGGCTAGTTTGTATCTTTTCCACATGACTGCTGCCTGAAGGCACTTTCCTGACTGGCCTTACATCGTGCATCATGAGACAAAAGAATACTTTTATATTAGCATCAGAACGCGAGCATTTTATAATTTATGAACTTATTTTCTCCTGTTATTCTGAGTGAGATGCATCTGATGGGGTTGAATCATTAAGCGGGTGTGTGCATTAAAGATGAACTCTGGCTCCAACTCTGCAGCCCTGTAGGCATTTAGACTGGAATCAGCCAACAGATGTGAAGTAATTGACTTTCTATCCCCCTGAAACATTCAACTCCTCCTATCCCACTGAAAACATCTCACCTCCCTTGGAGTTCCAGCAGGCCACAAACTCTTGCCATCTTGCTTACTTGCTTATTAATATTTATGCATCTATATTTTTCCCCCCATTTACACCCCTCCGCTGGCAAGTGCAACATCTGTCAATTCCAGCTGTGGGCTAAAAAGAGTCCATGTCTGAAAAATATTAATATGCCTTTGGTTCTACAGCTTATTTATTTATTTCATTAATATCAAAGGAGTGTGCTCATTTGAATGAAAGGGCAGAGGGAGGAAAAAGCATTGCAAATTTTCTTTTTCTTCTTTTTTTTTTCCAATTGGCACTGTTTCAGCAAAATTTTTAAGGGGAGGGAGTCAGGTTGCAGGATGTGAAATAGCCCAGGGGTTGAGAGTGGAGGTTTTTTTTTTTTACCAAAACAGAAACACAAAAGAGACTCCCACACACAGTTACTTTTTAATTCATACTGCCCTTCATTGCAGAGGAGACCCGTTACGGAAAAAGTTCTGTTGTGAGCGTGAATTTTTGCAGGAGACAGACCCAGTGAACGAAAACAATCATCTGGACACAGACATGTGACATCACAAACAAGCAGCATCAAAACACAGAGGTGGCCTGCAAGGACAGGATGAGGAATAATATTTTGTATAGTTCGCCACCCTTTTCCTCCAACCCGAGATATTTCTCACTGGAGGGTGACACCGCTTGTCCGGAAGATTAGTGGGGGACCTTGACTGAAGTGTCCTGCCTGCATACCAAGATAAGTGCTGACAAACATATTCACCTACGGGAGCAAATCTTTCTGTGGAAGGTTGCTCTCACAGCCACGACATGAAAATAAACATTTCTGGTACTTAACATTGCAATGATCTGCCTCTGCCTTCATAAAAACTATACAAAAATGTGACCCATTCTTAAGGGATAGTATTGTGTATTTTCCAGGCACTTAGTTTAATTCTACACCACAATCAAGTAACTATGTTATCTTCAGCTGTTACAAAAATGTTGCCTATATCAAAAATAAAATTGACTTTGCATCATAGTCTATCTATCTATGTCTTAAAACTGGCCTCTCTCTTTAAAAAAAACTCCTACCTACACTTCCACATCAGCACAATAATGCTTCAGGAGAGAGGTGCTCTGTGGTGCGGGGACACTGCAGACTGAGCTCCAGGGAGGAGTTTTGTGTAAAGAGGCAGTGCTTTGTACCAGCGAGCATTTAGGCAGCTCCACATGGCTACAACAGGAGGTTCAGGGATTTTTCAAACATGCATGAATGAGTCAAAGCAACACATTGGGTATGTTTTGAATGAAGGAAAGACATTATAATGTGACATAACGCTCAAAAAAGTCGATTTTGAGTAATACCACCCCCGCACCCCCAAAAAAGGTAAAAAGATTAGTATCTTTGCAAGCTGAAAACGCTACTGTTTTATTATGTCTGTGTGACTATTACATTCCTGTTTGTATTTACTGTCAAAAAACAATCTCTCTGATTTTATAGACATCTTTGCAGGTCAGAGGGCAAGAAGCAGACATTAGATCAGCTCGTAGCCTGGAGCCTTACCCTGGCACCCAAACCCAACACCTTCTACGCTCACTGGTTAGAAAATAAAGCATGCACGTACAAACTGAAAGGGCTTAACAAAAGTTGCTCCGAGCTATAATATCTTTTCATTCAAGTGTTCTTTGCACTTCATCCGGCAGAGTGCTATTACCATGCCACTATTTTCAATGCCACCCTTAGAGAAGCGAGACAATATATATGTCACTTGACAAAACACACTAAATCTACTCTACGTGCTGCCATTGATGTTCTGTATTATTGCTGGCGCTGAAGGCAAGAGAAGGATAATACCATACTATATATGCTACCCTGACAGGAGATTTGCCCCATTTGTCTGGATGCAACCTTTTCTGCTTCCTATGACTGGATCATTTGCCCTCCCACAGGCCAGAGCTAACCTTTGCCCCTGATCCAGATGCAGAAATTAGCCTCACAGCTGGCAGGCAAGCATCAGCTTCACACATATCCCCTATATTCCTCCACAGGGGGGTTGCAGGTCAAAACAGAGAAGCATCT